CTCCTTGTTAATTACGTACTATCTAACAAATATTAGGCATCTTTGATGTACAGAAAAAAACGATCACTGCTTCACATGGTGCACGTCCAATCCGCTAATCAATTCAATAGTATTTTTGTGACATAACATATTAAAGATAAACCTACTCTTGCCCCTGTTGAAGGACCTTACGTACAACCATTCGTCAAGTTCTATTCTCAATAACAACAGTTAAAAAAGGCACTCATTAATCATTAAAACGGCGCTGTCTGTGTCTTTCCCCATCGGGTCTCGTGTACTTTGCGCTGTTTTAGTTCGCAACTAATGAGTCTAATGTATCGATTGACATATTGGACGTGTACCATGAAGGCAGTGCTCGGTTCTCTTTATGGACAGTTACCAAGTATGTGTATTAATATTTAAAAAGTGACTTACTAATCAGCAGGGTGAAGGAGGTACTGGAGCTTAACTAAGTAAAGCTTCAATCAGGATCGGGCATCTGGGTAGATTTTTTTTAACATTATTAGTGCGTTAACATTTTTATACAGTTGTGGAATATGAGAGCAAGATGTATGTTCGAAAAGAAGTAACATGTGTAGGTTTTTATGTGGCAGCAGTTCAGGCAGATATCCCTTTAACATTAAACTTCGCCGTAGTTGAGGCCACGAAAGGATTACCTGCGGAGAGCGTCGTGGTGAGGCGGTATGTGGAAGACATTGTCGTGTTTTCTTTCTCGAGCAGAGTAGCGGCGAAATTGGGAATAAAATAAGAAAATCAATGCCTGAATTGCGGGTCACTGTGGAACAATCGAAGAGGAAAAGGCTTCGCTTTGGGATTTACGAATTCATGTAGCGCAGAGATTTTGTTGGGAGTATGAAAGAAAAAATATCAAAGCTATTCGTCTGAGAAGTTGTCGTTCTAAAACTGTGAAATCGGTTTCGGTAAGGTCTCCTACCAGCAATGAGATGGACCGATTGTGTATTCATCATCGGGCAAGGTCATTACATGGGCAGTGTACAAAACTACATAGCACGGGGTACGAGGAAGTCTTCATAGGTAAGAAAATTTCATTTCATTTAATTTCATGGCTCAAATTAGCTAAATAAATGAAAGAGGATAGGAGGGACCCAAAAGGCGGTACACGGTTCTGCCATATAATCCTGACATATCACACAATGTAAAGGCGTGTCCAAAAAAGTTTTCTGTGGATGGTGTATGTAGCAGAAGTTTTAAGTTGGCGAACCACCCCCTTCTCTTGCGGGGAAGCAGGGGTGCCAAAAAACATACCGAGAGAAGTTTTTTTCCTGTGAGAGTGGAGGATTGTATGATATCCTTTTGACGTGCGGGCTCAGATATACGGGCGAAAGTTTTACATTTATAATTAACACATTAAACCAGCATAGGCGAAACGTCGAATTCAAAGATCGCAACTCAAGAGGAGCCAAGCATGAACAGAAATGCAATAGCTGCACAATCGAGTCATCAGAAAGAGAAGCCTTGCACAATGAACGCAATGAGATGAAAACTGTGTTATGAGAAAAGGTCGGAATAAAAACTATAGGAAATTATATAAGGCATAGTTCACATAGAAAGTATAAAAACACTGAGATGAACGAGAAAGAGACACTCACAGTTCTTCCTGTGTGAACTATAGTTTATCCAACACGCTCTGCTACGTATATATAAACCAATGGCATTCGCAGCTCAGCAACGCACCTAAAGCCTTCCTAACAAATTGATTTCTGTATAGTTTGTGATGTGATTTTGCTTAAAAGAAGTGGGACGTCTCGAAGTGAAGTTCGGTGACCTTCACTTCCCTGCGTAGGACGTCCCGGTTGTGTCTGTATGTATCTATGTTGGGGATGTTGGTGACACGATTAAACGTGCCTTTGATCATCAAGGAGGGACAAGTGGAAGGGCCGAAGTTCTCTTGATTCGCGGCAGGGTTTGTAATGGGTATGAGTTGAGTGAATGGATTGACATTTTGTATGCAAATGGTTACGACTTTGGCGTTATGATGTATATAGTAGAGTTTTATTGAATATACTCTGTAGCATAGTTTGAGACCTTGTCCTGCTGTCACCTTTTTTTATTCTCTTCATCGGTTGATGCTTTCTAGGTTTCGTGCCCCAGTCTTGGGTAATTCAACAAAATGGTAGATATTTTATTGACGTAGATACGTCATGGTAAAACAAACCAACATGTTTTCTCAGATAGTTATACATCTAAATTTACGCTCGCATTCGCGTTCTGATTTTCTTGCCATAAGACTACGTGTCAAACATGGTAACCCAGGAACGGTGTGATGATGTTTATGCTGGATGGTCAAAAGAGGAAGACGACGGAAGAAGCACGAGGAGAACGGCAAGAGGGATTCCAGGAAGTGGGACAGCCAACGACCGACAGCCAGGCCAGGGCGCTCGGGTAAACGGCCCGAACCAGGACTGGGTTGCAAGTCACTGACAACCAGGAGCCCGCCGGACCAAGTCAGAGTCTCCAAGGCAGTGGACAAGAAAGATTTCCGTTCGGGGAAAGCCAGAGTTGCCGACACAGCCGCCCGTCAATTCAAGCTCCAATCGAACTGAAGTCCCAGGACACCCGACGTTGCACCGTGAGCCTTCAACCCTCATTCTCACTCCGGCAAACAGAAACCCGAAGGCTGATCTTTAAACAGGAACACCTACGCCGGAAGCAACCGAACTGAACACTGCGACTTCTGCTGTAGATTTTTTGCTTTTATTTATATTATTTTATGCTCTATGATTAGCTTTTTTATAATTACAAATTGATGAAATTCGTATTGGTCTCGCCTTTGATTATCTTAATGTACAAATTTAACACCAACACGAACAAACCCCGTGGCCAACGGGAAAGAAAGGGGTGCGAACACAGCAGTCAGTATTAAATCAGCTCACCTGCACATTTTCTTTCGTTTCAATTACTTTTCTAGGTTTTGTTTCTTTCACGTTGTGATTTGCTTTATGTAACTGGCGAACAAAGTGGACGATATAAAGCAAGATCAATGCTGAAATTGCTCTAAAGAGCAGTGACTTTTCGCTGGCGTTGAACTTAATATAAAAATGTCTGCGTTGATAGTTTTTGTCATATTTCAATATAAACAAATGCACACGGAAAGAAAGTAACAATTGATAAATAGATGCTTAAAAATATTGTCGCAATTGTTTTCGCGAGGAAGTTTTGATATAAGTCATCGTAGTACAAGAGGTCTAATCAAAATTACTATTTAAATCATGACTAAAATAAAGATTGTTATGACTTTTATTCTCCGCCCTGCTTCAAATGCAGCTCATCAAACCTTTAATCAATTCGAACTGTTGAGCGGAGCAGGTTATTGAATATCGTTTATAATATTTCTTGCTGCCGTGTTTGAAACCAAATGTCCCTACTCTCCTACCATCAGAGTGGACGTGCAGTCAAAAATTAACTGAAGATGCCTCATGTGCATAATGCCTATATATGGTCAGGTTGCTAATGACAGCAAACGGAACACTTTCAATTCGCAGAAGTGGGAAACATCGATCCACCAGTGCCCTATAACACTCCAAATCGGATTGTTACAATAACAGATTCAAACGTGCATATGGGCTGTTGTAGTTTCTGTACACAAAGATATTTCAATTATTGAGGATTTTTGTGGCAGCATAAAGGGTCTAAAATAACCACGCTCGATCTAAATTCGGGCGTAAAACTCGGCGACTACACGTCGCAACATAAACATTTCGGCAAATGTGTTTTGACCAGGTAGGTTTTCCCTGTAAAATTCCAAAGCGTAGCTGTCTTTCTCTAAAATACATTTCCAAAAATCTCGCCAAGGGTCAATAACAGACGGCGACGCAGACGACCGAGTTTATTGTAGCACAACCGATACATTAAGCGTTGGTTGTGCTACACCTCAACACCGAAAATCAATGTCCTCCCAAACCGGGGCTCCTGAAAATTACAAATGCTGGCAGAAGAACCTCTGGATAACTCCAAAACGGAATAACGAAAATTTAGGAATGGTACCATATATTCCTAGAGAACTACGGCGAATTCAGCTTTTGGAACAAGTATTTCGAACTCAAAAATTGTCAAGATATTCCTCACCTCAGTATAAATTTATAATTTTTTTTTGTTCTAAATGTGCCTTCCTTCCTGAAGTATTTATGTTGCATTACCTTCAGCACTAACTAAATGGCTTGCTCAAAATATATCTTGATGTCAAATTCTATCGTATTCTGATATTAATGAATGACATATAAAAGGAGATTTATTTTAATTTTGCAAAACTTCTTATAAACAGGCGCCCAATGCCTAATGTATAGAAAATGATCAATTCGTATCGTCCCTCTCCGAAAACATGACTTGGTTGTAATTGGATTTAGGCAAGCACTGTGTTTTTATTAAGGAGTGTTATATACAATCACCATATGTTTATTTTGCTCACGAAAGCTATTGCTTCAATAAACAATATGTTAAACAAGCCTTATTTAACTATTCCAATTATGTACATAGTTTTCAAATAATACAACGGTTGAGGGAAATATGATTAAAAAAATAATTCAAAATTTCAAGTGACATGCTTACCAGCTTAGGGCGCTTTAAAGAAATTCCGAAGCAGAAGGCGCTTTTTTATTGTAAAGAAAACAGTGGTCACCAATGGCACCGGTCCATCATGTCATCATTGCACGCTGCCTGCGTTTCGGAATATCGGCAGCTTACCATTTTGAGTCATCATCTTTGTATGAAACACCTCGCTGTTTAAACACCAGCACGCCTCCTCACAAACGCTGAGATACCAAGTCTGTGAAGTAATTTGTTTATGGAAGTTTGAAATGCATGTGCATGCAACGCACCATAAACGGGGTGGCCGCACTTGCGTGACATAAGTTCTTGTACCATGAGCGAATCTACAGAACTGCATATTCTCGAAAATCATGCTGGTTCGTGATTCACAGTTTAAAAAGCAAAATTAACCGTTATTCGTGACTTATTTCGTTGCCTCTTGAGTCGTTAGTTTGCTATAAAGTACTGAAAATGCTTCTGCACTTCTGGGATAACGGCATCATCTGTAATAGTAACACTTTGTCTTAACATGTGTCGGATTATAGGACATACGGGTTTCGGCCAGACTTCATGAACGTTCAAAGAAACAAACTTTCTTACCAGCGTGAAATGAAAATATGGTGTTCTTTCCCGACTTTCGTAGTAAATCAGGTAATGCAAGGGCAAATGGATGATGTAGACTCCCAAGATCAGTCGGCTTAAAGGGGTGAATGCCTCCCAAGACAAAAAATGACTGAGGATACCTGAAATGCGGTGAAACACAATCAGACATTCTCATGCTAACGTTGCAGACCGAAGAATCGTATTTTCAGTTGCCGTGCTGTCATTCTATAGCTACTATCAAAATGAAATGTCAAAAATAAGTACCCTCTATTTACAATGTTGTCACCAACAGCTTGTGTAACATTAGTCCAGGCGAGATCTGCGCATCTCATAATTGGGGTTGCAATGCGCGTTAGTCGTTGCATGTTTAGTGGAGTCGACACAGCGCTAAAGCGACGAAAAAAAAAGCGCTCGTTCGGTGTAAACCCTTCCACATTGTCTTTTCATTTCTTGCTCGCTGTGTCAAATCCACTGCGCGTCTCAGTATCGCTCATCACCCAATAACGTTGCGGCATTCGCCGATACAACACCCAAAGCACGAATCACGAAGCAGGGATTTTGAACGTGATTGGCCACACCCTAGTATTTTTAAACTGTCGGTGACTATAGCAGCTCTGCAAGCTCCCGGAACAGCGGACTGTAAATAAGGCATTCGTGCATTTTTTTTTAATCTACCAGCCCGGTACACTTCGTGGTAACTGATGACAGTATAAAAGTTCGCGTTCAAGTTGGATATCTGCAGATTTCAATGCAGTTACTTTTAGTGTATTAGTTGTAAATAATTTGCGATTTTGTGTAGCTTGCATGACTTCCGGCTCCCTGTAAAGGGGATATGGATCCCTACATTTAAACAAGTTCTGTTTTGACATTTTGTTTATAATTCTTACCATTTTGAAACTTTTTTTGCATAATAAACGCCTATAGTACAACTCTTGCGAATAATCGGCTTGAGAAGCTTTGCTGCAATGCATTAAAAATTTCAAATATCAACATTCGCCAAAACTAAAGACTAACAGTTTTTCGCTGTAGCTTAGGAATGCGTGCCAAAAAACGCGAGAGTGAATCACTCAGTGAAATTTGGTTTCCAATCAATCACGAAGGGCCAATGTCTTCCAGAGTTTTAAAACCCTTTTTTGCTGAACAACATGATGCAATTTTGCTTAACTTGCGACGGCATGAATCTGACCTAGTTGGTTCATGCTTGTTAAAATGCCAGCTGGACGTTTCAAGGACACACACACACACAGACGAACAAAAAGGCAGGTACACCGCTGAACTAGAAACAACTTTAATGAAATCGCCTTCCTTTTCAGTCCACATATTACGCTAAATAGATTCTTCCGCCTTTTCTGTATATCTGAACGTTCGTGCTCCTTTGTTTATATACCTGGTCCTTCATCTTCCTCTTCTTTCATGTGCCTATCAAGTGTGCGGTTCTTCGCAGGTATATCAGTTTCTTGTGGTACAGCGCGATTGACGGCGCACTCACGCAGGTTTCTTTTTTCGCGTCAATAGCAAGGGACTCGACAATTTCTCGAGCAGCCACGGTGCGATTTTTTGCCAGGATGTCGATGGTGGTAAGGTTTGGTGCACATGTGAACAAGCGACAATGGGTGTGTGCACATCTGCCCATTATAGGGTGTGCACCTGTGCGCCAAACCTTTCCAACATCGACATCCTGACGAAAAATCGCACCAGGGTTGCTCGAGAAATTTCGAGGCCCTTGGTATATACGCGAAGGGAGAAAACTGCGTGAGTGCACCATCTATCGCGCTGCCCCACAAGAAACTGGTATACCTGCGAAGAGCCGCACGCTTGGCAGGCACACGGAAGAAGAGGAAGACGAAGGTTCATATACATAAAAAAAGGAACTCGGAGGTTCAGATATGTTGAAAATGAGGAAGAATCCATTTAGCGTAATATGCGGACTAAAGAGAAAGATTTCATTAAAATAGCTCCTAGTCCAGCGGTCTGTCTGCATTTTGTTCGTTTCTGTGTGTGTGTCCTTCAAACGTTCAGCTGGCATTTTAACAAATTAGCTTAATTTCACTGCAACTTAACAGATGATTTTGTGTTTTCAAGGATTAACAGGGAATCCAATGCATGGAAGTGGAACAAAGAAATCTTAGAATGTTCTTGTATTGTGTATCTTTAGTAAATGAAAGAATAACTGTTATCTCGCTTCCACTAAATATATGAAAACGTGGGAGAGTTTAAATAAATATCACCATTCTGTTTTCATAAAAAAATATCAACAAACGTTTTCTTTCTCGCCACCTTTGTAATTCGTCAGCTCCGGGTCTTTTTATGTTGAATGGTATACATTACTTTTGACATTTCACTTTCAGTATCGCTTAAATATTGATGTTTAAAATATCTATAAGTAATATATATGTGCTGTGATACAAGTTTTTCCTCTTTATTTAGCCTAAGTGAAGCTTAAGTTTTTTTTTCATACCTTAAATTGTCGCGACATTCATACTATTAGAAAGTTTCAGTAACGTTTCTCGCACACCGGATGAGTAGTGTGAATTGTGCAAAAACACAGCTGTATATTTAGGTGATCAGTATCCTCGAACAGTGCTTCGAAAGGTATGGTGCTGATCAACTCAAAGTTCGAACTATTTTGATGCTTAAAGGGATGCTGAACCGAAATCTGGATTCTACAAAACACGGCGGCAAAAGCGTGCAACGGGATGCTAGGGTGCTAGAATCACAAGAACATCACTCATACAGCGATATCCCAAACAAAAAAAACACGTATTTTTCAACAAAAAAAAAAAAAAAAAGGAGGCGCATTTGACAGATATGTTTACGTCTTGTTGCTCCGAAAAGAGTCGAGAAGAGGAGGGAACGCCCTCGCGTCTTCTCCGCCTTGCCGCCTTGAGGGAGCGAAGCGAAGAGAGGAGGAAACGATATATCTTGATGTCACGCGCTTCGTCGGCCTCGTTCAATCTCGACCTTTTTTTCCAGAAATACGCTGTTCATTAGAAATATCGCCTTACCAGTAGTGTTGTAGGGATTATAGCGTCCCGCCTACAGCTCCTGCATTGTTTTCTGAAATACAAATTTAAGTTCACCATCCCTTTAAAAGCATGAGAATAGTCTCAGCTAGCGACTACTAGCGATATTGTTCGAATTGGCAAGACACATCTAATACAGTTTTTAGACCACCATTACTCTGTAAGAAATGAAACCCAGATATTATGGGCATGACTCCACATTCGCCTATCTGCTGTACGCCAAACGCAGCCTACAAAACTTAAACGAGCGAAATATTACGACCAGTTACATTCAGATATATTATTTGAATAAGGCCAACCAAAGCCCGCAGCTCTGGAGAAGTGTGATCAGGCGCTTTCCAGAATTACTCAGTTTTCTTACCTCCCCTTTTTGTGGCGCAAGCGAAGGCAGGCCACGCCAAGGAGATGGCCCACAGCGGTGTTGCGCAAAACGCTACCAAGATGTTGACCCATTCCATCGACGGTCTGTCTTCGTGGTTCCAAAAATAGCGAACGAACATGCAGGCGGCGCAGCATGCCAGGCTTAGGCACCAAAGGAACAGCTGCAGAACCTGACAGTGCAAAACAAGATATAAATTTATTTTTATGTGTTTTGTGCTTTTATTTTAAGTCGTGCCCGAATTGCCAAAATACTTCCGAAAATGATACGATTATAATTTTAAATACATGACTAATATAATTTATACATGAAGTATGCAACAACGATTTCATAATCAGTTTACGGAATCTCATTGAGTTAGCATAATTGGAGCTAACAGTTGTAATATATTTCAAGTTAATAAGAATAACATTTTGAAATATACATTTTTTTCGGCAATTTTGTATTATGAATGCCAATCTAGAATTCATTAATTAGCCATGTACGTCATTTAAGACGTCCCTTCACACCGATGATTTCAACCTCGGGATATCTAAGTTACAGCAGATGCGCACAGCGTGACACGGTAACATACAAAGTCAATTTCCGTTCTATTTTCTGATTCCTTGTCATGCGGTAAGTGCTTTGAGATATCAGTTGTTTAAACCGTATTTTGAGTTTTGTGTGAGAATCCTGGGGTCTTAAAAGCTCAAAGAAGAATAGATATATTCACACTTGGGCCGTTGGCCAGTGTCTGGGTATCTTTGTCGTAATTTACAAAACGACTGCAACCGTTAGGCTTAACTGCTTGCAGTTTGACTGTCATGTGGCATTTTAGAGAGCAGCTCTTAGAGGCCTGTTCCCGCCTTAAGTGGCGTCGGCGTCAGCGTAACCCCGCATTACATTTTGGAACGTCACGTGAACTCAGCACCAATTCAGTTGCCCCGATGAATTTAGCGGGAATTGGTCACGTGACATGATTCGTGTCACGTGACCAATAGACATATTCAAGATCTCCGCTAAATTTAGCAAGGAAATTGAGCTGACGTGAGCTCGCGAGCAATTCAATTTTTCCGCTAACTTTAGCGGGAAAAATGATGTCACATGACTTAGTGCTACGTGGCATTAACACATATGCGGTTTCCACGAAGGATTGAATGAAAATAGTGACGTTACGTGACCTGAACGCCAATTCAGTTTCCACGTTAAATTAGCGGAAAAAACGTCATTACGACTCCGTATCAGGTGTCTTACGCACAAATTCAGTTTCCCCACTAGATTTAACCGCATAATTGATGTCATGTGAACTCAACAACAACTCAGTTTATTCACTAAATTTAGCGGAAAATAACGTCCCATAACTTTGTACCACGTGACCTATAAACAAATACGGTTTCCATGCAGGATTTAGCGGGAAAATTTACGTCACGTGAACTCAATACCAACTGCGTTTCCTGCTAAATTCAGCGGGGAATACGATGCGACATGACTTTTTATCACGTTACTTATACACAAAATGGACCTTTTCCGAGAAGCGTTCTGCGCACGCGCGAGCGCCCGATGCCAAGCGGTGGAAGTCGGCACGAAAAAATCGAGGAAATTCGGAATGAGGCTGTAAATCGACGAGTAGAACACGTAATTGCAGCATATATATAATTGTGTTACACAAAAAAAGAAAGTGGACGGAAAGAAAAACACGACGTTTGGGTGGACGCTACGGATTTCCTTCTTTAAAGTCGCGCTAGGCCTACCTCGTTGCATTGGGCACGCGACGCTGCTCAGAGAGCGAAGCAACTGGTAACGTAGCTCCCATTATTGATTGGTAGCGCAGGTCACTTCCTCGATTTTTTAGTTCGCGCAGCCACCGCCTGGTGCCGTCGGTATATGGAAAAGGTCCATTGGCATTCTCGTTAAATTTAGCAGTAAAATTTGACGTGAAAAGTTTCGCCAAATTACGTCGAGAGCTGCGCTCTAATTTCGCATTACAGAAAAGTGTAAAAATTACACCTTTTTATGCTCCTCTCTAATGCAAACGAAGAGGGAATCTCTTGAGGTAATTTGATTGTGCAATATACCATATTAGAGAATTCGAGAAAGACATGCATTTATATACAGGGTGGAACAAGGAGACGCCAGGCTCTTTAAATCGACCGGAAAATTTGGTTTCTTAACCTATCGCTCTACGACTTTGTGCAGCGTTGCCCAGATATGGTGCATTTTTTTTTGTAAAATTTGCAAAGAGCGAACTTACCTGACGAAAAAGTAAAGAAAGAAAAAGGCTTAGCTTTAATGGAAACGCAGCGACGCCACCGGTCTGCAAATAACACGGCGCCGTTTCGCACTGGAGACAAGAGATGGCGTAAGCGGTCGCGACGCCAACTACCGCCAACGAACGAGCAGACGACGTAGAGAGCCGGCCCTTTTGCAGACAAGGAACTGCAGTTTCTTGCCGTTACCGCGTCTGTCTTTTTTGTTTCTGCGACTGTCACCGCCTGCGGAACGCACGCCGCTTTTGAGTCGAAAAGATCGTCTGCTAAAAAGGCTTGCTCTCGGCGCCGTATGCTCGTTCGTTGGCGGCGTTTGTTGCGCCATCTCTTGTCTCATGTGCGAAACGGCGCCGTGTTGTTTGCAGACCGGTGGCGTCGCTGCGTTTCCATAGCAGCTAAGCCTTTTTCTTTCTTTACTTTTTCCTCAGGTAAGTTCGCTCTTTGCAAATTTTACAAAAAAAAAAAATATACACCATCTCTGGGCAACGCTGCACAAAGTCGGAGCGCGATAGGTTAAGAAACCGAATTTTCTGGTCGATTTAAAGAGCCTGCCGTCTCCTTGTTTCACCCTGTATATTGATTGCTTCTCCCTGTGCGAGGGTAGGCCAGAGAGGAGAACGAGGTTACGATGAGCCCTATAACCCAGCTCGCGCTGTGTTTCTTCGTTTGAACGTTAAACGCTCTTTGGCTGGAAGCTCTGAATTTCCTGAAGCCGCATTTCGTGATGGGCATCTAGTTGAGCCATTTCTTCTGACGTCACGTCACGCCACACTTTCCCAGCTAAATTTATCGGGAAATTTGACGTAACGTGGCCTCAACACCAATATTCAGTGTCTCCACTAAATTATCGGCAGAAATAACGTCCCATGATTTCCGGTCACATGTCCTATTATAATTTCATTTTCCCTGCTTGCTTTGTGGAAAAAGTGATGTCACGTGTGCTCAGAACCAATAACGTTTTCCCGCTAAATATAGCGGGGAAAGTGATGTCACATGACTTTCTGTCACGTAGCCTATACACAAATTCAGCTTATTGGCTAAATATAACGGAAAAAGTGACGTTACATGACCTGAACAGCGATTTCCCCAGCTACATTTGGCTAGAAATTGAATTGGTGCAGAGGTTTGTGACGTCCCATAATGCAACGCGCGCGGTTACGCCGACGTTGGCGCCACCATATGAGAGAATGGGCGCCTAAGACCTACGCTCTAAAATAGCCATCCTTGCGTGCTGAAAGTTTAATAATGCATGGTATTATATATATCGAAGTTTGCAAATTGGGTTGAAATTAAACTTTGCATCGAATGATATTTTATTGCGGCTCACTAGTTTCTTCGTTTATTATTGCTTGCTTATTTATTATTGATGACAGCGTTTAGTCCATGTCTACATTTAAAAACCAAATCTAAAAATTGTAATATTTTCTTTTATCGATTTTTTGTTAGAGCCTACACGATTCGCCCGGTCTTTTTTTGACATTTTCAGTAAAACCACCTGAAGACTAAGTCAACATGAACGTTTAAAAATGTATTTGTTGTACTCTGTATTCTTCATAATTTTAAATATTTTATTTGCAGTGCTCTCTAAATTCTGAGTCAATTTGAATACTGTTTAATCTGCAGAATTTTCGTGGGAAGTGTTAAGTTTCTATTACACAAGGGGTAGAACATGTCTCCCAATTGTAGAGCAATCGAAAAAGAGAAAGCAAAGGGCTTAAGCCTGAATTTCGAATTGTCAACTACACTTTTCCAAACAAAAACGTTAATGGATTATCCTGATAAATACGTTTATTAAGATTCCATATTTATTTTACTAATCTGAATATTCATAGGCCAATTACCAACCTGTAGTCTATATAATGTCATCTTTCTAACGTTAGGGACGATAACGTTTAACGAAAGACGTTGTTGAACTTTCATTTTTCTACGTGCAACGGCTCAGATTGGTGAATACTTTTATTATAAAAATATCCATATTGTCCCCCCGAGTAATAAAGCCAAGATGGTTGAAGTCGAATTCAATAGATTCAAGGAGAATAGTCTAAGGGATTGGTTATTGTTGCAAGCATGAAACTTACCTTCAAAATGTGGATATGGGCATACTTTTGAACAAGAATCTGGCAAATACATCCAGCAAAGAAACAGACCGCGTGGCATGAGGGAAGTATGTACACGTTTGAAAACATGTCCATTTTCGCTCTGGAGAAAAAAGAAGTGCGTCAAATTTGATGAATATGCCCTTCTTCTACAGCAATTGGCACAACCACTTTTCAAGAGGGATAAGACCCACGCCCAATGGTAATTACTTCCGCAAAGCACTGTATGATCCTTGATAATTGTCGTGGTCCTCCTTTTAGAGAGGTAGGTATTTTCTCACCTTTAAGTATGTACTGGCAACATTTATTTTTTAATTTTTTTTCTATTATTTGATTAGGTGATATAGAATACGGATACGAATGTACATTAAAACACTAAAAAATTTTAATCGGAACATAGAATATCCTATATTGCATTGGACTTATTTTCGACAATAATTACAAATGGCACAAAAACGACGTAATTAAAATTTATTTTGTTTGTTGCCATAGGGAACGCAATACAAAAATGGACAACAACTCCTTATATGCGGTGTTTCACAACTTATAAAGCAGACAAAAGATCATTGGATTTCCTGCAGTATGCGTAGACGAATTCATTTCTGCATCATAAGAATTATGGTGTTTTTCGTAAAAACACGTCAACTAAACATAGTGCTATTGAAACGCGGGGCAGAGGTGTTTTCCGTGTGGTTGGAAAGTACGGCTTAGAATTATGTGCCGTGAAACCATAGCATTGGTAAAATGTATTTTAGATTTTGCTTGTACTGTTAATGATGATGATTATTATAAATCTTATACTGAAAATAATCATGACAGCCAGTTTTAAAGTGTGAGCAAGTACACACGTTGCTGTTCGCGATACTAAGAATTTTTCGAGTACGATAGCGAAAATAAATACATTTAAGAAAAGAAATAGGCTGGAGCACTTTTTCTATGAGATTACGGTAATGTGCTTGGAAAAGCAACAAGCATTTTGGGTTCTTTAGGCCTCTTAGGAAGTCAGAACTGGAGTTATATTAAACCATCCTAAAAGCGGATATATATTCTGAAAATAAGTATACAAAAAATTCTTCACTGTGTCAACGTGTTGTTTCGTTGAACGATAACTCCAAAAAAGTATATTACAAGGACCTTGCTGGGCTGTGACGAACACTGCCTATACGACACATTAAAAATTTTGTGGAGTATACTTACACAAATACATCGCTAGTAACAAATGCAAAAGGATCGTAGTTGGTGTTATACATCTGCCACGCAGTGACTGAAGATCCCAAAGCCGATAGGACCAAGAACACCGCTATTGCCGTCCATGGCTTCCTGCAATATAAAAACAAAATGATTGTTAATGCAATAATTCTGTACCATTCTTTCCATAGCAGTTAGCTTGATGAAAATATGCTTAACGTGGCTGCCCTATTGCAAAACCTTCCATGGGACCCACCAGGATTTCAGAGACGGTTTGACGTATCCTTAAAAAAATGTTTTAGGGGTTTGAGATGTTTGTCAAGGTTTTCTGAGGGGACTGGCGTACCCTTCAAGAATTCTTAAAGGGTGTACGAGACCCGTCATACTTTTTTAAGGCCTGTGGTCCCAATCCCTTCCGTGAAACAAAGCACCCATCAAAATCGTTTAAACGGGTCCGTAAGAGAAATCACGTGACCTTTAAGAATATATGCGTCGGGGAAGCCACTTGGCCATTCTGCATCGGCAGGCCGCAATAGTGTTGAAAATTGAGGAGGCGTTCCCCCGTTCCTATTCTGTTGTGGCCTTTGTTAATGTCACGATTGCTGTGTCTGTGTGTTCTGTGCATGCGTTTCAGGGGCTTGAATTGGTACGACGAAATAGGCTATGTTTTCTTTCACGAAGAAAAGACCGGGCGTGGGGAAAATGTGAGGTGGCCATTTTTGTGCTTTTTATAAAGATATCCTGTTTTTGGTCAATCAAAATACCGCCATCGTCAGAAACGTCGCTTTATTTTATCTTTGTCAGCGGGCGCAAACTAAATGCGCAACCAGCGGACACTTAGTGTCGGCTTCCCATCCAATGCGTGGGACCTATCTTATAGAGTAGCTGGGTGTGCGGATCAAGATCTTATAGAGCAGTTGTGTGTGCGGATCACACTCAGTGCCCTCTTTCCTGCTCATCTTCGTCGATTCGGCTTCTAAAACATCCAGCGTGCGAACAAACGCCGGAGATTCCACTGCGCCGGCAACAGAAACGACACCATGACTGTGCTCAGGATTTCTCAACGGTGGCGGATGTTTGGTGCGCGTTCGTGATTTTTGCTGAACGTGCTACTGAGAGTGTATATATGTGCATGTAGTGCGGCTGCTCGGTTTTATTGGTTGAACTACGGTGCATCTCAAGAATTTACCCAGCGACATTGTGGGTGTTTTGGGAGTGATTTGTTGCGACAAAGAACTTCGTTATCCATATAATTTCAGATCGATTTCGTCTACAGCTGCTTGAGCCCATGTTTGAGTAATCGTTGCTTCTTACCGTCTTTTTGAGTTACAACATGCATATAAAGCTTAATGTCTGAAATTCATTTCCAGTAATGTTTTCAACTGACTTTTTGGTCTATGATTCACAGTCATTTTAGGTGTCTAAATGGCTGAAGGGCGGAGGAACTCTGAAATGTGGAAGGGTATAAACGCCTGAAGGTTTTTGAAGGGTTGAAGGGCTGATGGGGATTAATGGGATGAAGGGGTTGGAAGCGCTGAGTTGGTCCCAAAACATATCAAGGCCGAAGTGTTATTTTAATAGGGTAATGTGTGCCGCGAGCGAAACCATATGTACTTAATATGGATCTGGCGCTTTGATGTTGCGCAGTAGAGATTAAAGCAACATTTTTATTAGTCAAATGAATATAAAGAAAGAAAGTTGCTGCACCTAAACAGTAGGCTAAAATTGTTCTCAAATGTGCACTTTACTGGAAGTATTTACCTTCCAGAAGTTCCATTCGTAGCTTTGTACATGTAATAGATGTCAATTCGTGAAACAATTCTTCTCAAAAGTTGAAAAATGTTCGCTTAGAAAGCATACTTGCTCTGTCCACAAGTCAGGTTTCGTGCTACTTTTGAGAAGTGCCACGCCGGCTGTGGAGAATTGATTTTAACGCAAACTTTCTGCACTTCGCAATTTAAATTGCATTCAATAATAAATAAGAGAAGCCGAGGTTAACTGACATACTAAACAAAATAAAACTAAACTAAAAGTGCGGAAATCTGAGGGCGACTGCTCGGTGTTATGGTTAGAATGTGTTCCGTTTTATCTGCTACTAGGAATGTTTGGCGCTACTTTCAAATTAACTCTGAACCTGGCCCAACTCTGTCAATTCGTCAGCAGCTGATGCTCAAATTATCATGATCATGGCAGTTTACAAAAATACCAGTGATTAGGGATAATCTTTCAATAAAAGCATTTTTAATAATAAATTTAAAGAAGGACGTATATACCTCTGCTTAAAAGGGGCACTGACACTACAAGGGTTGTATTTTTTATTGTCTAAAACGATGCAAGTCGTAGTCATAGACACACAAAAAAAAAACGCATCGCGGAAAAAAAAAGAATTTTCACGCCTTTTTATTTTTGGCGTTCTCCTCTGCCGCTCCTCGCCTCCCCGCTTCGTTTGATTCGTGACATCAAAAATCATGAAATTTAGAAGCTTTGTAGGCGAAATTTCTAAGACACTTTTAACAGCAATCGTAAAACATGTTTTTTAACGCAATTGCGAACGCACTACGGCACTTCTTTTTGAGATACCGAAAATCGGAGTCCGTTGTGGTGCCGCCCCCTGGATTTGTATCCTCCCTCGGAAAACAGACAACAACGCTCAAAACCTTTTTTTTTTGGTCCATTGGTGCTCGCTCTTTTCCTCCTCGCTTTGGATCGCGATGGCAACGGCACGGAGGCGTGACAGAAAGTGGACTCTAGGGACTCCGCAATATTAGACGTCAACGCACCGGCGCGGAACGCGCGGGAACTTCGAATTCGGCATTTGGAATCCTTTTTTTACTTCACAAATGTCCCGGAATTGTTTTCAATCCTTCCGAATAATAATAAAAAAATATGATTTTGATGGTCGGTGCTCCTTAAAGTCCCAAAATATAACCAAACTCCAACGTTTTACGAAGGATATATCTCACGAGGCAAAAGCTTAGTTGTTTTTTTTTTTTTTCAATTTCGATTAGTATGGGGCCCGTGGACAAATGCTTTTTTATTTGCACATTGTTTATGAAATATGAATAAGCTGCCTTCACCACATGCCAAGAAGCAATGTGCCAAATACTTTTTTTTTAGTTTAAAGCTCGCGAAGGAAAGACGTTTGTTTATTACCCAACAAATGAATATATTAAAAATTATTTTCAAGACAGTTCATTGTTGTAGGATAATCTCACTAACTAAAATATTGGAATTGGATATATTGTGGAGATTTCTATATTAAGAAGAACAAATAGAATATAAATTTATGAAAACTAATTTTACATCCCGAGCGAACTTGGATTTCTAGTGGTTTTCAATACACAACCGAAATTGTAAATCTATCCACTTTGGGAATGCACTATTTCAGTGAAACACCCCGGGGAAACTCCGAGAACGTATAAAACCATTTCTTTGCTGAAGATAATTCCTACACTTAAACGTCATACTTTTTCAAAGTTGACTCGTCGCCACTTCCAAGATGCTTTGTGTTTTAATTATGTAACACAGTTTGCAAATACCCAACGTCGACTGCTTTTTGTTTTCCTTTAATAAGTCCTAAACAACCTAAGATCTTAATACCAAGGTTAGTGCATTGGATGATAACATTCCACCACACACATATAATTTAAGAATGTCGTTCTGTTCTGAGACAAAAACCTTAGAAGCAGCAATTGCTCCTTCGAGAAATTTGAATCGTGCTTTTTACTTTAACGTAGTAATATTAAGTAAATATATCTAAAAATGTACACATTTTACGAGAAATATTGGAAATGACTAGAATAATAATGGTATATCCGGATTTGTAACATGGTTGTTCAACCAGATCAAATCTTGTTAAGGCTCTAAAAATCATTGTTACCCCTTTTTTAGTTTTTAGGTTCTTTTCGAAATTTGTACAATTAATTTATTATTTTAGTGTTCCTTAATAGTGAAGAAAAAATTATATATGTATATTATATATAGTTAGTTTAACAAAAGACAGTGTCACGGATGTAAGTTTGTTATTTTCAGAAGACTTGCCTTTTAAAAATGATTATAACAGGTAGTGCGATAATGAAGAGCTGGAAGTCAGCTGAGAGATACCAAAGGTGCCACAAAATACCCTGAAAGTGAAACATCAAACACTATTTTATTACACTGAAGTGGAAAAGTTCATAATATGTAGAAAGCTCTTAGAATAGAATCGGCATATAATATCCTATCACATTTCAAATAAGAACAAATTGTACATAATGTAAAAAAGTACATGTCAATCTATTAATAAAAAATGTATCAAGATGTTTGAATTGGAACACATGCTAATAAACGGCGTCAAATTTCAATCACGCAAGACAGTCACCGGCACACATTCTTGCCTCCAAGTTAAAAGCATAAATTTTAATAAATACTGGATTCTATTGGTATAGTTGAAACTTCAAGGCTGTGTTATTTTTGGTACAATATCAATATGAAACGAATAAACATTCAAATTTCGCACTCAGACACTGATTTCCTGCACTCGTATGCTTCTCTTCTATCGATATATTACGGTAGATGCCACACTTAGAAAATGCCCTTATTAAAGATATCCGTCAAGTCGCAAATACAATTCCAGTAATCAGCGTCAATTTGAAGCTAAACATGCGCGACCAGGGCTACAATAAAATTAATGTAAGAAGCGTCAAGGTCAAGTTGTTAAATAAATTTCCGGCAAACGTGTCTCTCGCCATTAATATGAAAAAGTTTGGTGGCGAACTGTTCTGGACGTGTTCTTGTGGAGGGTATGGAGAGTTTCGAACAGATTTTAGACTGAGTTTTCTTGTGGCTCTACGATATTATCGGCGACAATCATAATGCTTTGTGTGTCTGCGGATGGCGCTAGGGTTGAGGCTTTCCGAGATTTATATTTTGACTTGCTTATTGAAACAGAAACAGACTTAACATCTCACTCATTGTTTTCAATCACTCTAATAAACCTTTAATGAAAACATCAGCTCTAGCTACCATGCGCCAACATTCCTTCTCAACTTACACTGCATTCGTATTAAGACGTCACACAAAGCATCATCCTACTAAATTCAAAGCGTTTTAATGATATTATTTCGAATTTTCCGGCATATTATGAGATTGCATACGAGGGAGGTTTGGTTTTCTTTCAACAATGTTCTAATATATTCAAACAAATTTTTTATAAAATACTCCTGACTTACCGCAACATACTTAAGACATTAACAACCAGCTAGACCATACCTTGGCAATATTAATATAATGTGAGCAAATGAAATCTATAAATATAAATATTTTGCAAATATAATGGGAACCCAGGCAAACTGCACTCATTTATGTTAGACAGTGACACCTCCAAGAAATAATACCTTTCGTTATATTGTCTTATCTACCAAATCACTAAGTTTAATTTATACCTGTGTTAGCAAACTAATTTTATGTAGTGTGTTTATTTCCAGTTTATTTCACTCACAGTATCTGGGACCTGTATAGCATTTCGTCCTTGAACCAGGAGTGCCCACCAATTGTGACGCACGTCAGCGTAAAACTTCTCGTAGAGCTCGGCAGTGTTGGGTCCCATGAGAAGCAGGGGCACAATATAGAAGCACATGATAATGAAGAACAGGGGTACCGTAATGCTGCAAGAGAGGGAAGAAAACTTGACTAAGTTAAGGACTAATTCTGTAACGTCGTCTTGCAGTGGATAAGTTTCACGTAGTTTACAAAACTATATGTTTCCCGATACTTCCTTTCTTAATAAAACTACAAAGTTCAAAGCGGCATATAGATGTTGTTAGTTGTTCGTGGGTTTGTGAAAATTCTTATCTTTTACATTTGGGGTTGAGGTGTAATGGTGGCTGAGCGTACAAATGTTGACAGCATGGAGCATAAGGAGCAAAATCTTGCGCGCACAGCCCGTGGAATCCTCCTTTGAAATGTCGCATTAGCAGGTTTTGGTATGCGCAAGTACCGTACCAGCGCCAGGTAGTGTACTTGCTGGTGTGTTATCTAGATAACAATATACAGGTCGATGTTGCCCCGCATTGTGTAAATTACCCACCCACCCCATATAGCTACAGGGTTCGATCGATGAAATTGACCCCGTTTTTCGGCCTGCATAAACTACGCACTGCATAATCGTGAAAATATGTGAGAATGTGACGCTTCCGGTGGTGACTATCTGCAATATGTTGACCAAATGACGTTACCTGAATGTTTATCAGCCAATGTTTACCTAAGCTTACTATCCATCAAATCAAAATTTAAGATTGTGGGCGCCCTTAGAGTGTACTTCAGGCATGCTAAAAGGTTGTCAGTTACAACGACGATTTTTTTTTATTTATGTAATGTTTTTGCGTTGTGTTTTTTTTTATTAAAATGAATGCTAGGAAAGCGCACAGTTTGAGATAGCGGCTTGACGAATATTTGGCTTAGATGCCGCCACCTGGCCTCCCAAAGCAGTTGGCCTCGTTTTGTTTTAAGTTTATATATCTATTTAAGCCGCCAGGTCATTGGGGTATCACATTTCTTTGGAGGAATTGACCGTGACTTAAGGGGCGCGGCGCGAATATGCTGCGGTCATCATCATCAAAGTCCTCCGCTCCTTGAGACCTGCTCAAGGGATACCTCAACTATCAATGTGGTTTACTTACACTATGATTCTTATAAAGGTAATACATGGTGAATGCCCACTGGAATGACGGCTTCATTGCAGCATTCATTCGTTTGTGAATCGTGGTACCCTTGCCAAATCTCGTCGTAATTATCAGTCTCGTGAAGTGTAAGAGACAAGCAATGTTTTCGCCTTCCAAGCACATGAAGACCAAGTAAAACAAAGTCACCATTGTATTTTGCTGTGAAACACGTCCGTTAAGACCGAAAATTTCCCGTCCCTTTTTTGTGTGTCGCGCGAGGACTTACAGGTATATTCGCACGATGATGACCCTCACAATCTTCAGCTGTTTTAACGCTCTCCAGATCAGTAGGAACACTACATCGCAGAACAAAAATTTACTATTTTCTCCGCAGTGAAGTGACTTGTCGTGTGAATATGACGTTCGTGGGCAATGCATCTCCTCCATCCTTAACGTGTCATCTACTACAAAAATATTGAACGCTTATTTGAGTTTTCAAAAGTAAAAATATTTCTAGAAAAGTGATCAACATTATCTGCGCTGTTCAAAGAGAATTAGATAAATGACGAGAACAGGACGACACATTTCTCAAACACGCAGCGTAAATTAATTGACATAATCCTTCGCTTCCGCAACTATCGTCGCGCTGAGTTGAAGGGGTTAAGAAGAAAAGAAAAGGAAAGAAAATGGGAGGTGGAGAGAGAGAGAAACAAGTTTTTGAGCCGGTGGGTCCCACGGAAGTCGCGGCGACGGCTGGAGCCAGGGAGGTTTGATAACGAGGGGGAAGCAGAATAACGAATGTGACCTCGAGAAATGATGAAATGACGTGGGAATTTGTTAGAAGGCGACTACGCCTGTTGTGGTCTTGAACGAAGAAAGGCCACGTCCGCGTCAGAGAGACAGAGAGATAAAGATCCAATGTTTTGCGAAGAATGGCGCTTGGCAACGGCTTCGATTATCTCTCGCCCGTATCTCGACCTATGAATTGCAACCGCGGTGGTGGCGGTACACTCCGGTTCGCAGGACGGGCATGCGCCGACTTGCTGGGCTATTGGATTGAAGCTATGGACGGATGAGTGACAAGCTTCGTTGGCTTGCCCCCTCAGGCTGTACATTGGTCCTGTCTGACCAATGTACCGTGATTCGCACCCCAGTGGGATTGAGTAGACGCTGACCTGTTTGCAAGGTGCGAACTTGGTAGTACTTTTTTGGAGCCTGTCTTTGGGGCAGTTGTGTTTTTACCTTTCTCTCCAAACATGCAGTTGGAGATATGTGTCTTCCTTTCCTCGTCAGTTATGTAATTCTCCTCTAACACCGTAACTTTACCAGCAAGCACGATTTCCACGAGAAAACATTATTCACTAGCAAAATATAAATACCAGAGGAATGCCCGAAACTCCCAGCCTTTAAAATGACACACTTAGCCTTCTGTTTAGTTGTACCCATCACACGAATACTAAGACAAATCTCTTCTTTTTTTTTTCATCTCTTACAAGTCAACGTAGTTTGGAATTGACGAAAATACAAGTAAGTTTGTAATGCTATGAGAAACAAAAAAAGAACATTTTGAGGTGAAATAGAAAAAAAGGTTTATTCGAGCTTCTAACTTACCGAATAAATCGACGAATTATATAAATTACACCTGCTGAAATTGAGCTCCTTTCTTCCTTCGCGATGTTGTAGACTAGAAGAAAGCCACTGAAATAAAAACAAGACATGGGCCATTTAAAGCTAAACTTCATAGCCGAAATGTTTTTTTTCTTGTTTTCGCTGCTAGTTGCTTTATTTTGTTCCTCTTTTATCTTGGATTTCTGTGAAGTAAGTGAAGTGTGGAATCCTTCATTTTATTCAATCCTCTCGTAAATATTCTTCCCCGGTTGTTTTAGTCCTCAGCAGTGAGCGACTCATATTAAATAACATTAAAAACGGCCATTAAATAGCTATTTAAAAATGCTGAATCTCAAGAATGTTTTCTTAAATGGTTCCAAGATGCAACACTATGTATATTATTTTGGTGGCAATATATACGTAAGCAATAGAGTACTACATACAAAAATACGACTAAACGTGTGTCACAAAAAAAAAGCCTTCATTTCCTTTTTTTGCAATTCTTCTGAAATAACCTCCCTTAAAACGAGTGTAGTCGGTTTTCTATTGTTCTTTCAGATGATGCGCCACTGAAACTTGTTCAATCACGCAGTGACCCCACGAGGCTTGGAGTGCCAATATAGCATCGCCTTACCTTTTACTGAGTGCTCGCTTTAAAACAAATATTAAAACATCTACACACGAAAAAGGCACTGGTTCTCTCTTCCTTCATCTGTCTACGATTTTTGAATATGGGCATAATAAAAACTCAAACTCTTTGCTGCTTCTACTCCTCTTCGCTAATTACAGTCCGCAACAGTTTTCGTTTAATATTTGGGTAGACATAAGCTCCCTCTCTTGACTACGCGCCTTTTACGCCGGGCGGCGTTGCCTCCCGTGGAGTTACAAGTATAAGCTTCCTAAGGGATGTTCATGTGGTGTATAACAAGTCGTGAAGAACACGTCGCTAAGACTGTTTTCAAGGCACCAAATGTGCAGAGGTTGAAAAGTAAAGACTTGCAGAGCCTATATCAGTCGTCAACTGTCTGCAGCCATACATTTTAGCGCAGAAGGACAATAAGTGACAGATATAATATACTTAAGAAAATGAGGCGCTAAAGGGTTAACACGTAAGCACTTCTCATCACTTAAGGCGAGTCAACAATGTTAATATTGGTTACCGTCGTTGCCTGCGTCTGTCGTTTTGAATTGGGTGCTTGATGAACGCTAATCTGCAAACATTGTTTTTGTTTCTTCTTCTGAACGTGCTGTGTACAATCTGAGGGGTGTTGAACTATCATTAGCTTGTTTATATAATATTGGAAGAAGCTTATCATGCCCCTATATGCTAACTGAAATATTTTCAATATTTTTATGTAACTATTGCGTTTAGGAATGTTGCGTCCCGATTGTGTTTGCCTACATGGCTTAAGAATTAATTGTAAAATAACCTTGTTCTCATTAAAAGACAGAATGAAGAATTCATTTAGAAGCACCTGCATACAAAGAACTGCATTTGTATCTTGAAATCGATGTTTCCAGAAGTCTTTTTAACGACACTGAACACTTCATAGACCGGAACCAGTGAACGGAACAAAATGCTATTTTCACATTTACCCGACTTCAGGAAAAGCCACATTTTATGTTATTCAATTATTAGTGTCGCAAAGGATGACTGATTTTACATGCGAAAATAAATGTAAAGCATCGTTTGGCGAAGAGCAGTTACAACCATGTTACACTGACCTGATAAAGAACAGAGTGTCCACACTCAGATAGGCAGCTGTTACAATGCAAAACTCCCACCGATCTCCAAAGTTATACGTATTGACTGGACGACCTGAAAGGGAAATTTAATAATTCAGCGCCCGTTCAAATAAAAAGAAAAACTTTCGCGAATTAGCTTTCTAAGATTTCACACTTACACATATGAAATAACTAATTAAACGTCCTTGACTTCTAATTTTGCGAACTATATTGCTACTACAATAGAACACACATGATCATGAAGCTTTTACAAATAATTTAAAAATGCATGTGGGTGTAAAGACAGATTTAAAAAAAAGCATATTATTATTACTTATATGATTGGAGTGATCCTCAAGAAGATGAGCAATAAAAATAAAAGCATACACAGAATATATAAATAGTAATTCTCACGGCTACCATGCACCTCAAGGGCGGAACAAAGTTGGGTTTACAAAATTCAAACATATGTTAAAACTAACCAACAAAAAATAAATAAATTGGCGCAGCCATTTTAAGTTAGGAAATTAGGAAATCAAGTCACACATATATCTTGAAAGACCCGTCCCGCGCGCATCAACTTGTGCGCAGATCATGGCCTCCGCCTTCATAAAAATTGCCACCCTAAGATTTGATTACATTATTTAGAGTACCTTTTCTGTAATCGTGGTCAGGCTAAAGGGATGAGCAATAATAAACGTTGTTTTTCCCCATATCATTCACATGCGCGTAGCAATGACCGACTGAACATCAAAGAGTGGGTAAAGGCATATTCACCCCAGTGTTTTCGCTTTTCAAAAAAATTTTTAGTACAGAGTCAGTTTCAGGTCAATAAAGATACAAGGACTTCAAATTCAATCTGATGCCTTACACGACTTTGGGGACTACAGGCTTCGATTATTTATGTTTTCTTCACTTCTCATTAAATCGGTTGTTCGTACGAGTTGCTTTTGCGTTCTTTTAAGCTACCCAGCGATAGAGAATTAATAAAGATTGCAGCGGAATGGAATTCATCAGTTTATAAAAATATATTTCCGTTTTAATAATAATCGTTTAATCGTGGTAATGCCTGAACGAGTCTTCGGCAAACACTAACGTTACCATGGCAGCACGTGTTAGGAAATTCCTTAGACAGTTCCAGACGGTTTAGAGGCACACAATCTCCCGGTCGCTTTCTGTGCTACGCCGTATGTACTTATTCTTTTGTGTGTAAATTCTCCTCAAGTACACACTCGTTTTTTGGTACTTAAAACTTTATTATTCTAAGCTGATGTTAGCCAGCTTGACGAAATAACTACGGACAAAAATTGAATGAGCTTCACTGTGTCTTCGCCTACTTGTCTGCTGAATTGTCATTTTTTATTTTATTATAGAACTCAATACTTATTTAAGTCTATGTGTTCAAACACGGATTATATACTATTATAAAGTGAAATGAAATAAATTTAAATCGAAAACTTGAAATCATGAATGAATGACCCGTTGCACCTACTGCTAAGTGGAGGAACAGGCATATAGGCGTGTCCAAGTACAACCCAAAATATGCTGAAGAACCGCATTCCATGCAGGAATCTGTAGAAGTATGAATCTCCACTCCTTGGAACCACCAACAAAAGGTGCGTGTTGCTTGGGATAGAGAGTAGGCTGACGTAGTAAACCCATCTCGCTGCGTTCGGGAAAAAAAAAGAGTGAAGAGCGGTTAAAATTTATCACGTATTTTTTTACTCCATATATTACTTACTAATCACAATATATAGTAGTATGACTACTTAAATGTATTTTATTTAGTCCGAAAAAATGGTAAGATCCCTTAGCTGCGTGTAAAGCCAAAGGGAAAGCAAAAAAAGAAAGACCTTTATAAATCTTTGTAACGCGAAATTAGAGCGTAGCTCTTCAAGAATTTTGATTTTGCGACATACCATGCTAAACAATTTAAAGGCCGACGTACACTTCAAACTTTCCACTTTCCCCGCCTTTCCCCTTCCTATATCCTCTCCACTTTTCACCTTGCCCCAACTTGGCTCCCCTCGCAGGTTAGGAGAGAAAACCGAGCTTGTCCGTCGGCCCCTATGAAAAAAAAAAATACATACATGTACAAATATAAATCACACTCCTCACATGCTGGTTCTACACCCTCCTCCTTTTCCGTGTCCTCTTCCTCATTCGTACCCTCCTCTTCTGTATCCTACCCTCCTCCTCTTCCGTACTTTTCCCTCCTCCGCCTCCGTAGCCTCACCTACTTTTCCTCCTCCATACCCCCCCCTCCTCCTCATCCATACCATTCCATCCTCCAACAGTTCCCCTCTTAATTCAGCTGGAACATTTACTCCACGTGACCTTAATATGAATTCATTTTCCCCTCTAAACTTAGCGGGGAAAATGAAGTCGCATCACTTCGTGCCACGTCACCTAAAAGAAAATTCAGTTTCTCCGCTAGATTTAGCGGAAAAATTAGCCTCACGTAATCTCCATCACCAATTCAATTCACAGCTAAATTTAGCGGGGAAACTGAATTTGTGTTGAGGTCATGTGACGTCAGTTTTACCGCTAAATTTAGAGGGGAAACTAAATGCGGAGCCTTGCATTATGAGAAGTCCCAAACCTACACACCAATTCAGTTTTTTCGCTAAATTTAGCGGGGAATTAACTGGGTGTATAGGTCTCTGACGTCCCATAATGCAACGCGCTCAGTTACGCCGACAACGACGGCGACACCGACGCCACTATACGCGGAAACAGGCCCAAGAGCTCCGCTCTAAAAATCCATCTCGGACCAACTTTGGCCATCTATAGGGTCTTCTTCGGACCTAAGAAGGTTTTGCTCGAAGGATCTAACTAGGATTAATGCACTTAGTCTTGGCCCAAATTAGCCAGATAAATTCCAAACACTCGCTTTCCATGCATTCAGTAAATAAACGACAAAATGTTAGAAGGAGGAAAAGATGTTAGTTGGCAGTTGTAAAACCAGAACTTAAGCATAATTTTCTCATTGGTGGGGCCACTGAGACACAATGATGACCAGCAACAATCAGGCAGCTAAACTTAAATCTGCACTTGTTTCGCGAGTGCCATTTGTCGACTTAACAACCAGCAATAAAAATAATTATCGCTTTTACTTGGAAACTAGGGCACAAAGAGGCCAGGCGAAATCCAAAATACTTAGCGGTAAAGCCTACCTCTGGCCCTTGAGTGGCCTCTTAGCACCAGCATATCGACATTATTGTTAAAGAAATAAAACCTGGCTGTACTTTGGCGCCTCTTGGCTTTTATGTGCCTCAATCATAACAAAAATCTAAAACATGTTCTCCTTGTGATGAATGACTGTATCAGAAAAGTTGTCAAAGTAACCAATCGTGTACGTTTCCTGCCTTCAGTTAAATTAAACAAACATGAATCCTGGTCAATAAGTAAGAATAATAAATTAGCTTGTTTTCGTATATCGCAGAAGTTTTTTGGCTAACGTTGACCATTCTATTAATTAAAAAAAATATTGACGTAAAAAACAAAAAAGGGTCCGCAAATAAACTTGACGTTATACTTCGGAGTCTTGTACTGGGGATAACAGCAATCTCTACCTCGAAAATAGATTTGTTCTCCACTACGCTAAGCATTTTACAATGTTAGGCTTTCTTGGTCATTCCTAATTCAAAATCATTTTTACATATATCAAAACAGATTTAGAAGGCAAGAAATAATATATTATTGACATCTTATCGAAATAATATTTGCGATCATACAAGACTAGATTTTGGTTTGATTAAAACATATTCTGCGTCAACATAAAATATTTATTTAATAATAGATATTTTATTTAGGTACCAAGGTTAGAAAGTCCTCGTGTTGAATTAAGTAAATTAATGTTTTATATATATATATATATATATATATATATATATATATATATATATATATATATACACATATATATATATATATATATATATATATATATATAACTGAGAAGAAAAGAAAACCCTTGGTGAAAACAGCAACAACAAAATAAAGTGTCCGTTGTTGCTGTTTTCACCAAGGGTTTTCTTTTCCTCTTAGTTATACCTACGCCTCCGTCTTATGTCTTTGCATTCTGGGAAAGATATCCGCTTTCTACCTACGCCTAGTGACGTCCTTTGGTTTCTTCCATGTGAAGTACATATCGCAAACTGTTGCCAAAGCCACGATAGATACGAGTGTTCCGAGGAATCCCCTGTGAAAGAAAGAAAAACGTAGTTTGCAGGGACAATAGGCCTTGTCGTCGATAACTTTACAATGACCGCTTTCAACTAGATGGGGCAGTAGGAAAACATTTTGAAAGGGCTAGAAAAGGAAACTGGGTCACACAAGCTGTATAACTTAAGTAATGGTTTTATTAAATCACTTTTTATGTACACATACATTTTGATAACTCGTTATTCACACAAATACACAAATATGTTTATAAGAGGAGGGTAATTAAATGAAAACACTTGCTGAGTTAGACATGCGTATGTCTGTTTTTTCTACCCCTGTAAAAAAATTACTTTTTTTTTTCATTTGTCCTAGTATCGAGCTCAAGAAATCGTTTTAAACTGGAATGTCTTTCACTTAAAGAAAAGTGAAGCGGTTTTTTATTTGAAAAAAAAAAACACAGAAATTGTACTCATGTGACACTCGCGATCACGGTTGCCGTATTTTTTCTTCAATTTGGTGCACGAAGGCTGCAGCAAATTATTTGCAAAATACTGCAGAAGCCTTCCCTCCCGGAGCGTGACGTCATATCAGGGGTTTCAGAATCTTCAGCTTGTATTAAAGCTATTCACGCGCACTCTCGCCATTTTGAGTAAAATGCGGAAAAAAAAGACGCCAGGCTCGTGTCAGTGCGGGGAAATATGCCTGGCAACCTTGCAATTGCGCGCGCTTTCCACATGAGTGACGCGCGTTTGGAGGCGAAATGATCGTAGTATGACGTAACGACTGGTCAGATGTTTTTTTGTGTTTTTTTCACGTTTGATTAAATATTCGGGGAAAATGAACGTTATGTTTTTATTCACGTGATAAAAATACTTTAGAAGTCCCCCGTAACTCCTTTTTTTTTAAGAACCTTTTCGAATTCGTTTTACTGTGTGAGGCCGATTTCCCATCCTCAGTAAGAAATCTTTAAATCATCTCGTTGGGGTTAAAACAAACAAAAAAACATGCATTGCTAATTTCAACTACGAAGTGATAGCCTCCCTTAGAGAGACAAGCAAAATCCAAGTTTCTGCAGATTGTAGCACAGAGACGGCTGGAGGTGTTCAGGGTTTCCATTGTTTTGTTATTAGAAAGTTTTAGGGAACCGTTTTTGCGCATGCAATAGTTCGAAATCAATAGCAATAGTTCAAACTGCGCATGCGCCACCGCAGAATACTCTTATATGCGCAGTTCGTACCGGAGTTTCGGAAAGTACCGCAGTTCGCTTACCGCAATATCTGAATGCAATAACAATTTCATACTTCTTTTTTTTAAGTTTTATTGCAACGGACGCAATAATTCGACGGAGAAACCAAGCGGCGCAAAATCTTCATCATAGTGCTCTACTACATTGGGTCAAAGATTCAAATATGCTTTCACTGTTAAAAGAAAAAGGTTTATATTGCTCCTCTTTACACTACGTACCACAAAAATAAAGATTTTTCTTTTTAGTAGCAGTATAGTGGCGTTTGTTCTCTGCTGATTCTATGTACGCGATAAGTTTTCTCGCTGATAGCAGACGCCAAAAGAAAATAGGCGCCTTGACAATGCACTTTTGTTGCTGCTTGGTCAATTCCACTGGTGTTTAGTGTCGTCTGCGATCATACTTAAAATGAAACAAAGCATATTACGCCTGGTTTCTACCTCTGATAACACCACGGAGGTTGCGCAGCCAATGAATCATGAAGGGAAGGAGCCGGTGCAGCGGGTTTGGCTTCTTACGCGCATCTTATACTGCAAGAGTCTACAATCGCTACCGTTATTATTCTCGGTGAATATAGCCTTTTCTCTTTTTTCGCTTAGCGTATTTTTTGTTGATTTTGAATTGTTACCATTTTTCATGCGCGCGCGCGTGCGCGAATTGTTGCTCGAATCGAATAGCTGTGTGTCATGAATAATATTATCAAATTTATTGTTAACCACGACATGCAAGCTCCCATTGCGGGGAGAGGCGCTCATTTTTATAATTTTCCGCCTTCAATTATAGAAGGCGTTCTACGATCAGCGAACTTATGAAGGCGTTGCGTCACCAAAACTTAGGATCGTTTAAAGTCTCCAAAATATTCTTTCCTTCAAATTTTGTAGGACGCCGGTCAACGGCGTAGACTTTCCATTTTCCCAAGGGAGGCAGGCTGAGAAGTTCTCCGGGGGTAGGGGGGGGGGGGGGGGGTGCTTTTCCGCGCAATTTTTTTACACCGGCAATTATCACTAGTTTATTTTATGGGGTACATTTTACAGCGTATGTATATGGCCATGTTTCCGGCGCTGTGTGCGTTATTTGTTTACATGCCGCTACTAGAAGCTCGTTACATGGCACGTAAACAGCGTCTCGGTAAGGCTCATAGCCCGCGGGAGGCTCTGCCCAATGCCGCCCGTAGTCTACGCCAATTACGCCGGTTAATATTTACCCCATTACTTGCGTCGACGGGTTTGCTCGATAGAACTTTCTTTCGCAGTAGTTTAATTCAAGTAAAACTGATTTCTTGGCAGTATGACAGTGTTTTAAAGTGCACCTTCAAACTTCACCCTGCAATCATAGTAGTACGTAAGGCGCAAGATAGGAGTCCGTCCAAGGGAGTAGTTTTGTTCACTATCACTGACTTTTTTATCTTACACCAAATTATGTATTTGACAACGCTCGCAAAACATAGGCTAGCTAGTTATTTTTAATTTAAAAAAAAAGTGACTGGGAACAGAAAATAACAAAAGACGTATTTCAATATTTGCGAGGTTCGAATCAACTGTTGCAATAGTTTACATCCGTGGTGCCTATTTATTCTCAAGATTTTATCGTAGCTTAAATACTGACTGTGATCAAGGTTCAACACATCTCATGACATATGCATACTTTACACCCTGCAAACGGCCATCGCAGAAAATATTTCAATTATTAAGTCTTCGCGATCGAGATCTGAGTAGATCTCAGGCTAAATCACGCTAGCGGATGTTGAAAATGTGGTTACACGTGTTGCACGCATTGGCGTCTTTAACAGTTAATGTTCTAATATAAAATCTCAAACAAATGGCATTTTACTCGTGCGTTCGTTTACTGAATATTTCGGTAATTTACCACAAATCGTATGTACAAATAAAGGTACACCGCGCAGCAAGTGTACCGGCATTCCAACTATTCTCGTTGGTGCTTTAGCAATTTGGCGAAAATGTATTTTGTTCATACCTATGACTCCCTCGTGGTTGCTCAAAACTCGTGGGAGAACATCCCAAACATAGTCATATTGACTTAAGAATCGTCCTTACACATCCCTCATATTCGCGGCTGCCTCAGGGAGCGTAGTGGGCCTTCCGGGTTGCTCGTCAATGTTAGTGCCCGGTTCAGAATAGGCCATATGAGACATTTACTGTATCTCTAATTACACGAGGCGCACTCGATAAATTAGTGACTGGAGTATCTGCATGACGTAATTTGTAAAAAGATAAGGTACTGTGTAGGCGCCTGCAAATGCGGTAGGGTTGTGGGAGTGCTGATTCGAATCAAATAGCGCTGCGTCATCCATAGCCTTGACAATGCAAGAAAAGCCAAGACGGCTAGTTCATTTAACAGTGCTGAAGCTAGGGATGACGCTGCGAAATTCGGTGCGAACCACTATTCCGAAACCGCTGACATGCGGTTTTTAATCATGTAGAACAACATCATTCCTACCTTCAATGGTGCAACTATAGCCGGTACGGTACGCAGCGAGCTGCTGTAGCACTTCGAAGCCAATGAATGTCGGGACACAATTCGATCCGAGCTTCTACTTGTATACAACCCTATCACTACTGCGTGGCGCACGTCAAAGTCCCCAGGCTAGCGGTTGTACTGCTCTGGCTAAATTGCTCATCTACAGCGTGTGACTCGTCGCAACTTTAATGGCTGACCAACTACACGCTGTATAAATATCCCCACAACCCCCTCATATACAACCCTATAAACCTTTGCATCGCTTATTACCCGGGCGAGAAATGCCGAGTTACTGAGCTGTGGACGTATGCGCAGCGTCTGATATGCCGCATACCATGAGCTACAGCGCACGCTCAGAAAGCGCTCCACAGCCAGGCAGACAAAGATGGTCGCTCACAAACTGTGATTTTCGCAGGGGATCTATGATTGGTTCCACATCAGTCCGGTCACAGCCGCAAGACCATAAAGTCGCGTTGGCTACAATCCGATGGACCCAATCAAGCAATGCCAAAAGCGCATCATCAAAGTGATCGTGGCATATCCGCGTTTACGTTCATCGACTAAACCAATCATGCTATGTTAATGCGCCGCGATCTTCATTGTATATATTTTGCGTAACTGATCGAACCGGCGATGGCAACCCAGAAAGACAAGCGCCGTGACGATACAATTTTGTCACCGTGACGATTGGTTCCACCTGAGCGTGGCGACAGTTGCGGTCCAGCTTGAGGTCAAATGAAGATTCGTAATGAGACAACTTTGGGTGCGCGAAACAAACAAAAGAATTAACAGCCCATCACCACGGAGTTCATTCAATTCTAGAAAGAGATCGCTTTTTAGAAACTTCTCTGGTTCGGTTGGTCACAACTTTCTTCTAGCGTTTTTTTTTTTCTTTTTTATTTTAGATTCGTTTTAATATATACTAGATATTGGGTGCCATTTGCATTTTTTATTCGCGTAATATATACCGAAATACTTTTGGAACCTTGTAATCTTTATTCAAACCTTCTGCGCCTTTACTCTCGGGTTGGTGTCTGACTTCAACTCATTTATTTGCGTTTGTTGTATGGTTTCAATATATTCCTTTATAGACAATTAAAGGAATATTGTGCGGGAATCTGTGTAGTTATGCCGTTCCACATAACTTATTGCGATTGAAAAATTCATATATTCACGAGGACGTACTTCTTTAAATATAACGGGGAGGTGCACAAGGACGTCATTTCAGAAGAAAAAACAATCGTCGAGGTGGTGTAAATATTATTCGAAATGAGAATCAAGCACATGATGAATTACTACGCGTGCGTTTAGTTCTCCGGAATGCCAAAGAAGTGTTTTATTTTACAATAATCCTGGCGTCGGGGACCATGACTTTGAATTTCCTAAGTGTATGCGTTTAGGTATGCTTAAATAGCAAATCTAATGAAAACTCTATTTATGTGCGTTTTTAAAATATTTAAAGAATTATCTTCACAAGCACAGTAATTCAGTAAGAGGGAACCTAAGGGTAATCATTAAATATTAACCACATTTTTTTCAATTAAAACCAACACAAGCAAATTACAAATATTATATCGTCTCTATTTTCTTTATCTCATTCATGTGACAGTAAATGTTTGTCACATCTGTATTAGCATAATATCGATATTATCAAAGTTGCCAGCCTCATGCTTTCTGTAATATTTTCTAAAGTCTGGTTTATTTTATAAATTTTATATAAAATTTATAAAATATGGAAACGTTACCCACTGCAGTAGTTAAAAGAGGTCACCTTCAAGCGTTACGAACAAAATCAAAAACTGCCAAATTGAAAGCGCTTTACTCTTTTATAATGCCACATAAAAAATTGTCTCTTCTTTTGTTAATAAATTATTAACGAAAATACAAAAAAAAATCTCAACAGCAACGGTTTAAGATAATATTTAATTTCGCAGGCAGTTGAGGAGCGGAATGCACTACCATATGGCGTAGTCATACTTGAATTTTGATACTTTTGCAGAAGCTATAGAGGTGCACATTAGCAAGATTTTTTTTTTATTTTGATCGCGTTGCTTGAATATTTTTTTTTAAATTTTTGTAATAACTAAAATTATTATAGATCATGGAGTGAAGCTGGTGGTATTTTCACATTAATAAAATAAAACGAAAATGAAACACTTCCATTTAATATAGGCCTTGTGATATTTCAGTCACCGGTGTGATATAATTCGAGGTCTTGCAGATACAATCCTCTCGTCCGCGCATCTTCTCGAAGCAGGAACGACGCACCTTTCCTTTCCGGCCACGCGCGGTCGCCTGCGTGTTTGTAGCTGCGCATAACCATATCTCTACAGGAAGGTGGCCTTCCTCGGTCGCGCCCAGTCCCTGCACGATCTTATAGCAATTGTGCTTCCCCTAAAATTTAATGCTTCAGCCGGGCTTTGGAATTGTGCCTAAAGGCTGATATTTGCAGCTTCCCCTTCTGTTATCCCGGCCTTCAATAATGTGAACAGTCGAGCGTGAATCGCATACTAATATCTGGCCGAGAAGCTAATATTTTAAAGCAGTTGTTAGTGCCAGAAAGTCAAACTTTCTGTATTATTCATACTTTTATGCTAAAGCTTTTGTACGAGCGGAAATATAAGTAGCTTCTTTTATTGTCTTTAAGTACCTCTGATGCTAAATATATTTTGTGTACACTGTACCAGAGTTTGTTTTGTGTTCTATTATTTTCTATGGATCTATCAGGAATTAGTTTTATACGATGAGAAGACTGTTTGTTTTGAGCCTATATTCTGACAATCGCAAAAAACTATGACAGGTTTTATGTATCTAGAACGGTACACTTACGGGTATGTTTCTCAAATTTATTTGTCACACATTTGATTCGCCGAGAAAAGCTTACGAATAAGTTTGGCTTGTTCAAAGGTCGTCCTAAACCTCTTTACTTGGTGTAGAAATGGTATATAAGTAGACTGGGCACCAGGTCGTGGTCATCCTAATGTCCCAACCTGGCCTGCTATCGTTTCGTAGACTAAGTACACGCTTATAGCTGGTTCGCGATTCACCATCTGTTCTTCTGCAGAACGTACGGGTGCTTCTGAGAACCACCCATTTTGATAATGTGTAATGGTTGCTTTATTATATGAACAGTGTGTGGACAATATAAGCTCGTCGTGAACTTTCAAGTCGGATATGTCCATTATGCATAGTTTTAAAAGCGAAACTCCGGTTGGCCTTTTCTACTTACAGAATGACGGTTTGCATGGTGTCCATGGGAGGGTGCTGGTTCGTCACACAACTTTGTATTTTGATCTTTACAATTCCGTTGTTCGTCACTGCAAACAGAAAATATGAAATCGAAAACCATTTAAAACACCAGAAAATAATAGTGTATTATACGTACTGGATATTTATTGTATGTTAGGGTATCCAACCTGATATCCACTGCCACAAACACTGTAATGAACTATAGTGAGCTCTAATAATTACCACGTAGGAAGAACCCAACTCACAAATCCTGGTCTTTTAAATATAAAAAAAAACTTCCAAGCGCAGCTGGCCAATTTCCACTTTTATCTAAACAAAGATGTCTTGCATAGAATCCTGGTGTACTGTTTGCAAATTTTAAAATTTTAATTTTGTGAAAATACATCTGTTTGCCTGTGCGTAAACGTGCAACTGGCTGTTGCCAGAGGAGGCCAATATGACAGCTGTTGAAAAGAAAAATTATTACTTTTTTCGTTCTTAGGTACCTAGCCTAAATTTAGTTCACCGTATAAAATATGTTCTGTGCTGTGCTGACTTCCACCGTCCATGCCAGACTCTCTGAATATTTCATATGCTTTTCTGTCAGTGCAACAGCTGACGCGAATATAAATGAGCTTCGTTATAATATAAATTGACTTCATTATATTATAAATTAATTTTCCAGAATAATTTTTCTTTCTTGCGAATACTACGAAGGGCCTCTACGGTGAGCCTTAAAAGAAATTTTATGTAAAAGTTCACTGAACTGTAGTCCACTAAACCCTTCCTCTAAACATGTCAGAAAATATGTGAGAAACCAGCTTATTGTTTGAATGCATTACCCACAAATGTCAATTACTTCTTGTAAAAGACCTACTGATATGTTGTAATATAATCAGATAGTGTATATTGTTTTAATTTGCATCCCACCCAGGCAAAAGCTTACCAGAAAAACACCCTAATCGTGTAAAAACAACAATTGCAAATAAAAAAAAAAAAACTTTCCGTCTATTTTTATTTATTGACACGTGAGGTTCTTCAACAACCCGAACGGCGGTAGCGGATATTTGATAAAAGCCCATCAGTGATGGCTAAGAGGCTTACGGATGCAACATGAATGATACGTTTTCTTTTATATTTCTTTCGAGAAATGATTACAGTGTAACCGCGGCTTTTCCGAACTATATTCAATGTATCGTGTTAGAAACTAGCGCTTGAACCCTCATTTATATGCATATATCTGCACATAACTTAACGTGGATGTCCAGCTTTGTTAACAGAACTGTATTATTAGCAGCGACTATGTAACAATACAGTGAATACAAAAATTTTACAAATAACTTTAATAGTCGACGGAACAGTGTATTTTTTGTCCGGATCACTGGACCGTTGAGGTGGAAATGTAGCATATATAATTGTAATACTGCGTCCTTCCGCAAATTGGCTTATTTTATACCGCAAAAAAAAAGCACTCGCCGAGTATCTAGCCCTATATTATCTTCAGCGTCCACGAGCGCTAAAACAAAAGAAACGACCGAGTTGGAGACGCTAAAATATTATTTCATAAACGCGCTTCTGGAGTCTTGTGATCCGCCTTATGTGCGCGAGCTTACTTGAGGATGGGTTTTGACTTACCAGCATCTGCGATAACTTGCATGTCTTTCGCGGAGCACTCCGTCATCATGCATATTCCAAAACGGGTTCCCCATGGCTTCTGATTTACGTAGCGACCTCCAATTGGGAACTGGAATAAATCAGCATCGATCACAATGTACCGTTTGATAGCCAGTGGCTGGAAACGTTGCCTGACAAAATACTACCCTTATGAATGGTATGCGGAAGGGAGCGGGTTGTCCGTGTAAGTGTATCCAATTTCGTGTCTTCTGGACTTAAGAATGGAGAAAGAAAGCAAGCGCTGGGCGGCTATACAGAAGCGTATTTTTCACTATTATTATTATAACAAAAGAATAAGTCAAGTTGCAGCAGACGCCGTGGCGTCGTGTCCAGCAATTCTTAAATAATGAAATACTTTTAGCGGCAGCTCCCACTTCAAGGAATTCGTCCATTCTGCAACAATTTCCTCGTTAAGTTTAGTGGAGAACTTGCCATCATGTAACGTCTGGTCACGTGATATCGTGAGGCTGCATTGTCAAGTACCGGATTTACGTGCCAGTATCATGCTTAGAAGTAAACTCAAATTCCATGACATCAAATTGATACCTAAATTAGACAGAGAACATGGCCAGGATTTTGGCAGGCGCTTTTAGTTCACTGATTTGTCGCCAAGTGGCATATGCACTTTAAGGTTTACGTCGTGCGCACATTCCCACCAGAGCGAAGTGTGTGCCGTGGGCATAACACATTGAATTCAAACGTAAGAGAGAACAAATAATGGGTGTCTCGGAGTTATAACATATCTATAATATTATTATTCTGCCTTTCTATATCATGGTACTATTGCGATCAATGGAAGAGCACGGGAACATATAAACAATTTGCAGGAGGCAACGCTAGTATTTCTACAGTTCCTATAGTTGTGTTGGCGTGAGATTTGATTGGGTACCACCAAAGTTAACTCTGTGGTGAGTGCGTTTAGGGCTTAAAACGTATACTATTATTAGCGACTGATTTCCTAAAGGACGTATCAAGGATGAATTGTCTGCCTATGTATTTCCGACATATAATTTTGTGTGGGCCTACATACATCCACCTTTATCCTGGTGCCGTATAGCTGAGAAACTATGGCTGACGCTGTGGTAACTCGGGCAATGGAGGAAGAGAACGTGCACGAGCGGACGGGCGAGCTCGAGCAATCAGGAACCGGCCACCATCGGGCAAGCATCGTCTAGCACAGCCTAGCCTGTATAAATATGTAAATAAACCGAGATTTACTACATTTAGCGACGAGATTTTCCAGTCAACTCATCATCCGTGGACATCAACTGCGTAGGGTAACGCTTCTTCAGCTCGAACGCTCCGCAGCTCTAGCGGCCCGGTTGACCCTACGACTACACGGACGTTCGGAAGGGACCCCTTCGATGTCAACACAAAGCGGGGTGAGGATGACTTACATCGGTCGCGTTCCTGATTTCGATAAGTCAGAACGGTTCGATCTTTACATCGAAAGGTTCGAACGCTGGCTCGCGGCTAACGAGGTCCCTGAAGGCAAGAAGGCAGATATCCTGCTTGCGACGCTGCCTGCATCAACCTACGAGCTGCTTCGGGACCTGGTTTCCCCACGGACAACAACGGTATGTTCAAATGGGGATCTCAAAGAAGCGCTTATCCAGCATTTCAAGCCCAATCCCATCACGATTTCGGAAAGATTTCGATTCTACAAATGTAATCAAGAGGAGGGCGAAACTCTGGCTGATCTCATAGCCGCCCTAAAGAAGCTCGCTCACACGTGTGAATTCAAGGATTTTTCGGACGATGCCTTGCGAGACTGGTTTGTCTGCGGGTCGAAGGACGAATATTACATCAACCGCGTACTCATCGAAAGGACGCTGACTTTTAAGTCCGCGTGCGAGATCGCCTTAGGTTTGGAACTCGCCAGGCAAGACACTCGTCAGCTCACCCAGAACATTGCTCCACCAGTTGGAAGCATTAAAAAACTTCAGGTCCAGGCACGTTCAACAAAGACAACCCACGGCTTCAGCAACGTCCGTCATCCCTTCGCCACGTACCTGCTACCGTTGTGGCGAGCAACACCTTCACGTGAATTACCCATTCAAGAATGGATTCTGCCATAAATGCGGAAAAAAAGGTCACATTGCTCGAGTTTGCACAAGCAATGCACGTGCGCAATACACCCAGCAAACCTCGAGCGAACCAGGTCCTCATAATGATGGCGTCACTCTATATCCTGTTGATGGGCGCACGTGCAGTGTCGGCGAGGGCATTGAGGTCCTGCTGAAGCTGGCAGGAAACCCGGTGAAAATGCTGCTCGACACTGGTGCGACTCTGGCTATCATCTCGGAGAGACAATACAACGAGTCGCTGCGCGGTTTGCCACTAAAACCCACGACCCTGCGCCTCTGCTCGTACACGGGCGATGCCATTCCTGTCCTCGGAAAGGCACAAGTTCTGGTAACTTACCAAGACCAGGAGATGACACTACCACTGGTAGTCATCCAAGGAGATCGACCAGCGCTGCTGGGAAGGAACTGGTTGCGGCACATCCGCATCAACTGGTCAAACATTTTCTCAATCACCGAGACTGCAGCTCGGAACGGACTAGCCAGTCTGCTAGACAACCACAAGATGCTTTTCAGCGAAGAAATGGGAACGGCGAAGGGAATAAAGGTAGCGATTCACGTCCAGCCGGAATCTGCTCCAATCTTTTTCAAGCCTCGGCCGCTTCCATATGCGCTACGAGAGGTTGTTGAGAAAGAGTTGGAAGGCCTCGAGAACAGAGGCACCATCACCAAGGTTGACAGGAGCGAGTGGGCGGCACCGATCGTGGTAGTTCCCAAGAAGGACAAGTCCGTTCGTCTTTGTAGAGACTACAAGGTCACCGTGAACCGCTGCAATCGGCCGGAAACCTATCCACTACAGACTGCAGAAGACTTGTTTGCGACCCTTGCCGGGGGCAAGTACTTCAGTAAAGTTGACTTGACCAGTGCCTACCAACAGTTGGAGTTGGACCACAGCTCGAAGGTTTACACCACCATCACTACACACAAGGGTCTGTACCACTATAATCGAGTACTGTTTGGAATCTCCACAGCTCCGTCAATTTTTCAACGGACCATGGACCAAATCCTGAAAGGATTGGAGCACATAGTATGCTATCTCGACGACATCTTGATTACTTCAGGTACTCTTGAGGACCACCTTCGGTTGCTGGACAAGGTTCTTACTCGACTAGCAGAAAAGGGATTTCGGGCCAACCTCCAAAAATGCGAGTTCCTCAAGAGTAGCTTGGAATACCTCGGCTACAAAATTGACGCCCAAGGATTACATCCAACGGAGAGTAAGGTTCAAGCCATCCAAGACGCTCCGCCACCCTCCAATGTGATGGAGTTTTGCTCGTTTTTTAGGCCTATTGAACTACTATGGTCGATTCTTGGAAGGTCTTTCCACGACCTTAAAACCACTCCACGAGCTGCTAGAGAAAAATAGACGCTGGAAGTGGACAGCAGAATGCCAAGACGCCTTTAAAGAAGCGAAAGAGAGCTTGCTGCGGAGCAACTGGCTTACTCATTACGACCCAAGCAAGCCGCTCTGCCTCGCCTGCGACGCATCTCCAAGAGGAGTGGGAGCAGTCATCTCACACATCATGCCAAACGGGGAGGAAGTGCCAATGGCCTGTGCCTCTAAAACACTCTCACCAAGCGAGCGTAACTACGCACAGATCGAGCGAGAAGCGCTTGGTATTGTATTTTGAGTGAAAAAGTTTCATAAGTACATGTACAGCCGGAAATTCACTTATTACAGACCACAAGCCTCTGGCCGCAATCTTTAATGCGCACACGGCAATCCCAAGCTTAGCTGCTCTTCGAATGCAGCGTTGGGCACTTACACTCCTCTCCTATAACTATGATATCGTCTACAGGAAGTCCCAGGACCACGGCAATGCGGATGCGCTTTCGCGGTTGCGTTGTGATTCTGGTTCGTATCACCCCGATGAAGACGCCTCCGCACTGCAAGTCTCCAACATGGAGCTGCTCCCCGTCACAAGCGACCACATCGCAGTGGAAACTCGGAGGGACCCAACGTTATCCAGGGTGATGGACTTTACCTCGAACGGTTGGCCCAAGTCCGTCCAAGACAAGGTGCTCCGGCCTTACTATGAGAAGAAGGACCAGCTATCCACAGACCAAGGATGTTTTCTGTGGGGGTGCCGAGTCATCATACCACCATCAATCAGAACGCGACTGCTGCATGAACTCCACGAGGTCCACCCAGGCACAAGTCGCATGAAGGCCAAGGCTCGGAATCATCTTTGGTGGCCAGCGTTGGATAAAGATATAGAAGGGTTCATCAAAAAGGGCTACGCTTGCGGGTCCATGCAAAACTATCCGGCGGCACCACCGCTACACCCATGGTCGTGGGCAAGAACCCCGTGGGAGAGAATTCATGTCGACTATGCTGAACTGAACAAGGAGCACTATCTTGTAGTCATGGACAGCTTCTCGAAGTGGATAGAAGTTCTACCGACAGGGACGACAACGGCAGCTCGCACCATTGACATGCTGAGGAACCTTTTCCCGTCCTATGGAGTTCCCTCTGAGCTTGTGTCGGATAATGGACCGCAGTTCGTCTCAGGGGATTTCCACAACTTCTTGCGAATGAACGGGGTGAAGCACATTCGCACACCGCCATATCACCCGGCATCGAATGGAGCTGCTGAGCGAGCAGTGCATACATTCAAGCGAGCTTGGATGAAAGACTCGTCCATAGGAAACGCACAAGGAGAAACAGAAAACCAAAGGCTGGCCAGATTTCTCCTGAGCTACCGCAGTACTCCGCATACTATAACAGAGAGGACACCGGCTGAGCTATTCCTCAAGCGGCCACTTCGAACCCGTCTTGACTTGATAAGGCCAAGTACGGAGCGGACCGTCGTCAAGCATCAACGCCAGCAGCAGTTGGCACACGACAAATCACGAAGACCACTTCGTAGCTTTGACGCGGGTGACCGGGTCCTCGTGCGAGACGTGAGAGGTCACCAGCACTCGTGGTCACCAGGCATTACTGTTTCCCGACGAGGACCACTGTGGTATCTGGTGGACGTTCGAG